TAGCTGAGGGGGCCCAGTCATGAATATGTTTCACAGGGGGAGAAAGTCATGAATAAGAGGAACAGTCATGAAAAACATTTATACATGATGAATAACTCTAAGCATTATGAGACAAGTCGAGGCATCATAAGTCAAGGCATAACTAATCATCAGTAACTTGACGACGAGGCAACCTGACCCAATCTGACCTTGTGAGGATGCCTGTTGCAAGCTGTCACTCCACTCAAGTGATAGCAACAGCGGCTTCTCCTCCCTCCCTCTCTCTTGTTCCTGCCTCACTACCCTTCACTGACTGTCGACATGAAGCTCCAGGTGATACTCCCTTCCCTCAGGTACACACACACACACACACACACACACACACACACACACACACACACAGGTAATTCCTGAATCCTCTGCTAATTGGCCACAATACAGATACAGTGTGTGCAGTAAACGAGACATTTAGCTGCATGATTTAAGCTAGTATGATATATTGTATCCTGTTGCAAGCTTTTGGCAATTGTTGCAGGAAGTTGAAGCGTCTCTATTGATCTTTACCTCATACTCTGGTTTGCGATATTGGTTTGTCATAGAGAGTCGAGCCATATTTTTTCCCGTCCTAAAAATAGTCAGATTGTAATAAATACTAATTTTAACATATACAAGAAAAAAGAGGAAGTAAAGTTACAAATACATCAGTCTCTCCCTGAAAACATTAAATTAAAATGTTTTCTATATTTCAGCTGGTAAATGTTCACGTAAATTAACCTACAAAAAAACAAACTCAGTAAATACTAAATAAACTTAAATAAAAATAAATAACTAATACACAACTTCTTTTATTCTTAATATTCACTAACACGTCAACACCATACGGATATAATCTCGTTATCGTAATACTGAATTAATTTGTTCCTCTACCGAGACAAAAGCAAAGATAGCGTCATTTTCGTCTCCAGTTGCCTCTTGATGCTACTCATGTTTATATATTTTTAATTTCTTAATGTATTTCCTAATTTAAGGGAGTGGTGAAGGTGAAGGAGAATATGAGAGAACCTGAAACAGAAATAGAGAAGAGAATAAATGAGTGGTTTAAGAACTCCTCGTGACGGCGGAGTGCTAGAAATACTCTCATTAATGACTTGGTAGATAATTGCTGGTAAGAATGTGAGAAAAATTGGTAATTGAAAAAGGAAAGGCAATGACGAGAGAGAGAGAGAGAGAGAGAGAGAGAGAGAGAGAGAGAGAGAGAGAGAGAGAGAGCAGATGAACAACAGACTCATCATCTATAATTTCTAGTAAGCTAAACTTTAAACTTAATTTCCGATACAATTGTGTTTCATATGACGCAAACTTTTTTAAGAACAGATTAAAAAACAAAAACAATAAACAATATAGTCGTTTTAACCAGATCCGTCCTCATGGTCTCGGTCAGGGATTCGGTCGAGTTATCAGATCCTAAGTGCCGAAATCGTGACTATTTAGACCGTAATCCCGAGTACTTCTAAGGCGAAACCGAGACACTGGAAGTTCAATCTAGAGTACAACACCTCTTCTGAGTACTATTTTGTTTTTACGTATTTACAAAGTCATTGACATCAACAACACCAACTACAACAACACCAACACCAACAACACCAACACCAACAACACCACCATCAACAACAACAACTTCCTACCACCATCAACAACAACAACCCCAACAACTACAAAAACAACCCCAACTACAACAACAACAACAAGCACTTAGTAATCAGTGAGGCGTAAAGCAAAATAGGTTGAGGTTAAGGGAGGAGGCGGTGATCCCCACTTGGCTGCTCCTGACACATGGGCCGCCTTACAGCTCACCACGGCAGGTGCGACAACAGAAAAACTTGGCAATTTATCTGACGCGTCTGGATTCTTCCCCTTGTGTAAATTGCTCTTTCAACCGCTGATTTACCGCTTTCATAAATATTTCTCAATTTATCTTTTGAGCTCCTTTCGTCTATTGTACTGTATGTATATATGTATGTATGTATGTATGTATGTATGTATGTATGTATGTATGTATGTATGTATGTATTAGTCATGACATAGGGTTTAAATGTTACCCTCAACATCAGGAGTGTTGTGTTTGAAATTTGTCGAAGTATGAGACTAAGGGAACTCGGCACTCTATTCCGACTTTACGTCACATTATTACGTCACAGTTTGTTTTAAGATTCAGCTTGAGTGGTAGAAAAGCTTAATCCGTTTTCTTTTTCTTTTGGCCCTGAGGGTAAGTGACCCCTAAAATACCAGAGATTTATATATGACAACAAGACCTTCAACTGACGGCGAGGAGACAGGTCGTGTCGTGGTCATGCCGGTCCCCTACAGCTCACACATTAAGTAGTGTGGAGTTTCCCTTCCGGTTGCTTGCCAGGGTTAACAGGGAGGGAGGGACCTCACACATCAGGCACAATAACAAGGCATTTTTTGTGTTTCCCTCACCGTTACAATTCTCACTTCAGTAGTAGAATATTATCATCTGCTGAATAATGAGTTGAGGGACTTTAATCACCGACCACTCGAGGTAAGAAGAGTTAAGTAAGTCATCTAAAAAACCTTCTTATTCGCCTAATATTTGTTGACTATCAGGTAATCTCTTACAGGTGCGTCTCTTCCAGGGGGTGAGGGTCCTGATGTATGTTCCTTGTATTTAGAGTCGCATTATGTCGTATACAAGATGATTGTTTACCTTCAAGCTCTCACACAGCTCTGGCAGCCAAACTAAAGCTGATCTGACGGCTTAGTCTCACACTGCTTACTGAGCGATATCTCAAACTGGTGAGAGAGAGAGAGAGGGAGAGAGAGAGAGAGAGAGAGAGAGAGAGAGAGAGAGAGAGAGAGAGAGTGTATGTGACCACGAAATATATGCGTTATGTTTACCTTCGTTGACCTTATAAACCATACCTCACAGTGCACGGCAGCCACGTCCCTTCCTAATGGTGATATACGGTATTAAACAGCCACGCCAGTTAGATAAAACACTCTCGTATGGTTCGTTGAGACTGCCAAGGACACACTTGTGACCCGAGGAACGGAGGTGTTTATGCCAGTGTGTGTAAGTTGCTCGTACAGTGTAGCAGTCAGTCACACCTCGAGGGAAGTTAACAGATGTGCGGTGTAGGGAATCCACAAAAGTTTCTTAGAGTTAATAGTTTGAGGAATTTATCGAAATACCTCTTCTCCCTCCTTCTCCTTCCCTTCCCTCCTTTTTCCTTTCCCTCCCATCCTCCTTTAGCCTCCTTTCCTTCCTCCTCCGTCTATTCCCCCCTCCATCCCTTCCTCTCTCCATCCGTCCTTCCCTTCCTTCCTCCCCCCCCTCCTTCCAACCCTCACTCCCTTCCTCCCTCGCATCATGGATGAAGCATTAAAATGAATGCCTAAAATTATTCGGTGATCCACTTCCTGCCCTGAGTGACGTCATTACCTTTTTTGCCCTATGTGACATCACTAGCCCCCCTTATCCTAAGTGACGCCATTACCCCCCTTACCCTGATGCCACTACCTCCTTTGCCCTAAGTGAAGCTACTGCTCCCTTGCCCTCATGCCACTACTCTCTTGCCATCATGCCACTACCCCCACTTACCCTGAGTACTTCATCATCAGGAGCACAGCGAGCCGTACTTAACAGCACATTAGCATCATGGCACTCCTGTATCCATCCAACTCATCTTTTATCCATTCCGTGATCAAAGGTAAAGCGCCTCGAGAAGTAATATTTTTTTCTTTCAAATAATGAACAAAATATAATAGAAAATAACATATAAATGTTTTTGACCGACACAACAGGAGTTTGTCAAGAGAATCAGCGACTACAGACAAACACAATAAATACGACTCTTTATAAACACATAAGATGAAGGGGAAAATGAAGTAAAACTTTGTTCAACTCAAAAATAAATTTATTGTTTGTTCTTGTGTAAAAAACAGATATTTTTGAAAACGTTCGTGAGAGCTGGAGTAGATGTTCATTTCCGCTGTAATAATAAATAAAGTGAACAACAAACTAAACATAACAATGAATTTATATATAAATGATGTATAAATAATTATATAAAATAAACAAATAACAATTCAGCGAAACATGAAATGGCTGTCCTTTCAGAATTAAATTAAAGAGACAACGCAACATTAATATTAACTAAACAATAAAATTTATTAGGGAGACTTCATTGAGAGAGAGAGAGAGAGAGAGAGAGAGAGAGAGAGAGAGAGAGAGAGAGAGAGAGAGAGAGAGAGTGAGTTTACTTTGAATTAGTAACAGCAGCAATAACAATAACAATTTCGTTTATTGCAGGAATCTGTCATAACGTAATAGCTTGAATGATCCGGCGGTCGTAAAGTGACGGAGGCGGGAGGGGGGGAGGGGGGGGAGGTGTGGTTAGGCAGGGTAGACTCACCATATTATATTCAGGGGTCATTTTCAAGCCCATTAGTGCATCAGCAGTTGCATCATGAACTGGCAACAGAGTCTATGCAACAATATTATTATTACCGGCACACTGATATAAATAATAGTTATAGTCATTTCAACAATAGTGTCTATAACATTACCGTCAAACCTGCTCTCCCATAGTGATGGATATTGTACAAATTAATGTTGATGTCATCAAGAATGCTTCACTGCTCTTAAACTAAGACTTTAATGAGTATAAAACACTTACATATAAAACTTTAGGTACTATATTTAATCATATATAATTGCCTTGCATATTTTATAGCCAAACAAATACCGAGAATCCTTATGTACAAAGGTTACGTGTTCGTGTTTATATGTTTAGTTATTACAGAGCTGCTGGTACGGGTCCTCTCAGCTGCTACCTCAGTCATGGCAGGTTTTTACTGCGAGCGGCTTGATTGCTATATTCCTCCAGTACATTAATCCTAATCCATTCCATTCAGCGCCAGACTCTTAGCAGGACGTCAAAGCTCTCTTTTAAAAGATCTATTGCTTCCATTCTCACGTCTCATCCATCTTCCCGCAGGTGTCCTGGATGCGTAGCGTGGATGACGTGCTCGAGCTAATCACCTGGGACACTCACACCTACGCTAAGGACAGCAGGTGAGTGTGTGGGTGCGTTGAGCATCACCTGGGACAGTCACACCTATGCTAAGGATAACAGGTGAGTGTGTGGGTGTGTTGAGATCACACCAGAAGCACAACAGATGGTGTTTGATAGTGACAAAGGCTCTAATCTTGCTCCCTTACACTTTACGCGTCACATACAAGCACAACAAATGCCTATATATAGATCAAACACTCGCATATAATGAACTACATTTAATTAGTTGACATCACCAGCGTCTATAACTGTCATACGTAACATTATACTCTATCTAAGGACATATAAAATAGAAACTACATAAGACCATAAGACCATGAAAATTACTAGTGCACAACAATCATCTTTTCGAGGAACAAGACATCCGGTACATTTCTCTTATAAAGGAAATATAAAGTAGCTTACCCAATCTCGGGGTCATAGAAGATTGTTAAAAATACCTTCCCTTCGTGATCAATAAACAGGTGAAATTACTGGTTAAAAAATACATAATACAGCTTTTATGTATTACGGAAGTAGAGTTCGTAAAGCGCAGCGTATATACACTTTCCCTCTCTCTCAATAAAGTCACGAGGGAAATATCTTAGGTCACCTTCTGGTTGGTTGTATTAAAGGGGACGAATGTAGTCATGGAGGAAGAGATAGAGAGAGAGAGAGAGAGAGAGAGAGAGAGAGAGATAGAGAGAGAGAGAGAGAGACCACACTGTTACTGGTCTACCTGAAGCTTATACACTTTTTTTTGGGGGGGGGGGAGGGTGAGAAGGAAGAGTGTGTCACGTGCAGCAGAAGTTGACGAGGAGAGGCAAAAGACAATTACCTTTTCTCAACGTATTGGGTCCTTTCCTTGTCTCTGTCTTGTTGATTTACTAAAAGAGGAAGTAGGTGAGGGAAAAAACGAAGAGGAAAATTAAGGAAAAGAGTTTCAAAAGAAAATAATAATTATAACATCAATAATGATTATACTACTACTACTACTACTATTTTTGTATAAAATAGCCCCCAGCCTCCCTAATAGCCACACCTTCGCCACCATTTTATTACCTTAATATTAAAAATCCTAATAAAAAAGTAGCTACCTTAGGTGAGTTAGTTAAGCCACACATCTATGCGACATTCAGTGACTGTTCCCTCATAGTCAGTATCAGCGACTCCTGTTGGCTTTGGGTCCGAAGATCTCGTTCCCCTGAGGCAAAGCAATACAGACCCAAGCAGAGAGAAGGACAGTCGACATCTCAACCAGGCTACAACGCAGCTTCTGGGCTACTGCTTCTGTTCAGATAACAATTCTGCCAGTCTTGCATAGATGCATCTTGCACTTGGTCCCATCCCGCCAGAGGTTGTGAACACCAGAGGGGTGAAGCTGCTCTGATTCACATTCTGAATTCTCTTGGATTTCGCCCTGTTCTTGTCATTCTCGTTCCTCTTGCGTGCAGCCTCGAGAGCTAGGTTTCGGTGACATGCGGCCATGGGATCGAAAATCCTGATGTCAAAGAAGGCTCGCTACGTCCAGAACCCTCGAGCACTGATGGCCACACGGACTTCGTTGGATTACTACTACTGTACTACTACTACTACAAATAATAATAATAATAATAATAATAATGATAATAATAATAATAATAATAATAATAATAATAATAATAATAATAATAATAATAATAATGAGAAGACGATGTAATACAATCTGTTCTCGCCGTCTTCTGTAAATAGCTGTACTTTTGAGCTGTAGCGTCGTCGGGATAACCAACTGAAAATACTGTGCCAACTTCACAAAATAGGTCACTTTAATTATACTCAAGGTGCCAAGGTGCCAAGGAATTAAGTCAGCATACTCAAGAGACAATACCTAAGGAAAAAGACACATATCTAAGGGGAAACAGACATATCTAAGGGGAAACAGACATATCTAAGGGGAAACAGACATATCTAAGGGGAAACAGACATATCTAAGGGGAAACAGACATATCTAAGGGAAACAGACACATCTAAGGGGGAAACAGACATCCTAATTAAGGTAACGTTTTTCCCGAGACTGTCCTTAGCCCCATCAGTGAGAAATGTGAGGCCCCTAAAACTAACCTTCTGTGTGAGGGGAAATGAAGGGATGTGGGGAAGGGGGAGGGTAGGATGCATGAGTAATGGAATGGTGGGGAGGAGAGGGGAGAGGAGAAGGAATAGAAGGAGAGGGGAAAGAAAGTGGAGGGGAGAGTTTTTTTGGATTAGTCCACCCGGGCACAGGTCACTGACCCACATCGGGGCCTGGGGGAGGAAAATTAAATAATAATAATAATAATAATAATAATAATAATAATAATAATAATAATAATAATAATAATTCAGATAAGTAAAATTTTAATAAAAAATGCAAAAAAAAATAATAAAAATATTGATAACAAAAAATAATAACACAATAATAATAATAATAATAATAATAATAATAATAATAATAATAATAATAATAATAATAAAGAAATACAAAAATACAAAAGATCAAGAGTGAGAAACAATATATGTTTGTTGTGTTGTGTTGTTAACAGTAAGAGAAACAATTGAGACCCTGCAATTGTGTGTAAACGAGGCAGAAGGTCCGATCAGCAACCTGGGACTTGGTCACAATTTTCGTGATGCCATATGGCAGCAGGGTCTACCATTAGACAACACATTATACTTCCAATATCTTCCCAGGCGGTAGTACCTCCCTGTTTGGTAGCTGCCTACTACCTACAGGGAAGGAGACGGAGAGGGAGAGGTGAGGAGACAAGAGAGGAGGGGAAGAGAGAGGATAGAAGGAAAGGGGAAACGTGGAGGTGATAGGTGGTAGGAGGGAGGAGAAGGGGACGGAGGAGTACAGGAAAAGGAAGAAGAGAAGAAGAGAGAAAACCCCTTAGAAAGTGTCTCAAAACGATGTTAACCTCTAAGAAAGAAAGAAAGAAAGAAAGAAAGAAAGAAAGAAAGAAAGAAAGAAAGAGATCAGTGAGAGGTTGAAGAAGAAATATTGGATATCAAATAAACCAAAATAATACATGCGACAGGAAAGGGAGAAACACGAAATGATAATAAATGGTAGAGAATATAAGAAAACGGGAATAAACAAGAGTAAAGAAGAGACAGGAAGGGGAAAGAGATAAACTGAAGAAAAAGAAAAAAGGAAATTAAATGAGAGAGATGACTTTAAATTCGTTGAAAGATGGAGACAGACAGACAGTAAAGACGGTCACAGGAGACATAAGACATAAAGGAATAAGGAATGATGAGATAATTATGAAAGAGAAGCAATAGTAAAGAGGGAACTAATAGAGCAGTGAAGAAAGTCATAGAGAGGGAAAGTTAACAGAGAGGGAAAATTATATAACAAATTATATAGCAGTGGGAGAACGACTTAAAAGAGGGGTACAATAATATTATGGGAGAAATTATATAACAGCTAGGATGCTATGAGAGAGAGAGAGAGAGAGAGAGAGAGAGAGAGAGAGAGAGAGAGAGAGAGAGAGAGAGAGGGTGAAATATAATAACAATAGGAAATAATATAGAAGGGATAATTATAAAAAGCTTTTATGTACTCGAGGGAATAAATATAACAGAGGAATTTATAGACATGATTTTACTGTACATTATTATATTAAAGCGGATGTTATCTAGCAGAGAGGAAGGAATGGAGCAGAACCAACCCACCTTCCCCCCACCCTCTCCTCCCCCCCTTCACCCTCTCCCTCTCTCCCCCCCCTCTTCCCCCTCCCCCACCCTCCCCCACCTCTCCTCCCCACCCTTCTCCTCACCTCCCTCACCCTCCCTCCTCTCCCCCAAAAGTAAAAAATATAAAATTAATAACTACAGAGTTGAAATAAGAGAACCGAAATATAGATAAAATATTAGAATGCAGAAATATACACTAAAGGTTATATATTACAGCACAAATTACGTGATGCACAAAGAGGAGTAGGGGAAAAAACGGAATAAATGACCCTGCAATACGGAAATCAAGAACAATGTTGGGAAGGGATATGTGTGAGAGAGAGAGACGGGGGAGGGGTAAAGAGAGAGAGAGAGAAAGAGAGTAGGAGAGAGAGAGGGGGAGGGGAAGTAGGGAGAGAGAGAAAAGAGAGTAGGGGAGAGAGGGGGATAAGGAAAGTAGAGAGAGAGAGAGAGAGAGAGAGAGGGAGAGAGAAAAGACAGTAGGAGGAGACAAGGGGTAGAGAGAGAGAGAGAGAGAGAGAAACAACGCAATCGTTAAATGATGCTTATTTGCATGCATACCTCACCTGCTAACACGGAAGACAAACAGACTAAATTAGGTGGAATGTATACCTCACAGTGGTCTATTTGTCCCATGGGGTGAGAGGGTGAGGAGAGGGTTATATTCCTTTTTGGGAGGCATTTACAACTGGACCTGGGGGAGGCATTTACAACTGAAACCTGGGAAGGCATTTACAACTGAGACCTGGGGGAGGCATTTACAACTGAGACCTGGGAAGGCACTTACAACTGAGACCTGGGGGAGGCATTACAACTGAGACCTGGGAAGGCAACTGAGACCTGGGGGGATTACAACTGAGACCTGGGAAACACTGAGACCTGGGGGAGGCATTACAACTGAGACCTGGGGGGAAGGCACCTACAACTGAGACCTGGGGGAGGCATTTACAACTGAGACCTGGGGAGGCATTTACAGCTGAGACCTGGGGGAAGGCACTACAACTGAGACCTGGGGGAGGCATTTACAACTGAGACCTGGGGGGAGGCACTTACACTGAGACCTGGGGGAGGCATTTACAACTGGACCGGGGGGCATTTACAACTGAGACCTGGGGAGGCCTGGGGGAGGCATTTACAACTGAGACCTAGGGAGGGAAGGCACTTGCTGAGACCTGGGGAGGCATTTACAACTGACACCTGGGGGAGGCATTTACAACTGAGACCTGGGGGAGGCATTTACAACTGAGACCTGGGGGGGAGGCACTGAGACCTGGGGAGACCTGGGGGAGGCATTTACAACTGAGAC